ATATATCACGGGCTTTTATTGCTACTAGAGACTAAGGCTGGCCTCAAGCAGAACATTTTTATTCTCCAGTAAAAATATTTTTCTTTTTGAGATTGTGAAAAATTTCAGTGACCATTATTCGTTACATAGAACTCCATGTATTTCATGAGGCCTAATATCAGCTCTAATTACTTTACGTGCCCTCTCCTAACTTCCATTTGCACGTCTCACACAGTTTCCTCTCTATATGCTTCACTCCTAATTCCTGAGTATGGAAATCTTGTTTCTCTCTCTTTTTTTTTTTTTTTTTCTGGAGACAGGGTCTCACTCTGTTGCCCAGGCTGGTGTGCAATGGTGCAATCACAGTTCAACACAGCTTCAATCTCCAAGGCTCAAACAATCCTCCCACCTTATCCTCCCGAATAGCTGAGGCCAGAGGCACACACCACCATGCCTGGCTGTTTTTTTTTTTTTTAATTTTTTATAAAGACAAGGTCTCGCTATGTTGCCCAGGCCGGTCTCAGACTCCTACGCTCAAGCAATCTTTCTGCCTCGGCCTCCAAGTGCAGGGATCACAGGTGTGAGTCACTGTGCTTGGCTGGGAATCTTGTTGCTATCTTTATTTCACAAAGGACCTAAAAAGTAAGCACCACCTGCTTTAATTTTTTTCATTGTGGTTAAATTGTGTTACTAATAGTAAAATAAACCCTGGTTTACTAATGACATTTTGGTGTCTTACCAATGGCAAGACTCACAATTAGTTGATTTGTGGCAGAAGCAACTTGTCCCTGATAGATTTTTCCCCTTATACCTTTATAATACAACATTCAGTTGGGGCTGAGGACATGAATACCTAACTGACTGTTTCTCACCCTCCCTGTCGGCTGGTGGTGGCCATGTGAGCAAACTGCAGCAAACAAGAGACAGCAGAAGTAATAAACTTTCAGGTCTTGCCCTTAGAGAAAAGTGGGTGCCACCACTCCCATCACCTCTGTATACCCCACACTGGAGACATGCTGGAGGGCATGGCAGGCATCTAAGACATGAGATGAAAGCCTGCTCTTGAGGATGGCTCAAAGGAACTTTATCATCCCCAGAAAAAAATTTTTGGTGTTTTCTTTTTGAGAATTTTTTTTTCTTTTTTTTTTTTTTTTGAGATAGAGTCTCACCCTTTCACCCAGGCTGGAGTGCAGTGGCACAATCTCGGTTCACTGCAACCTCCACCTCCCCAGTTCAAGCAACTCACCTGCCTCAGTCTCCCGAGTAGCTGGGATGACAGGTACATGCCGCCATGCCCACCTAATTTTTGTATTTTTAGTAGAAACGGGGTTTCACCATGTTGGCCAGGCTGGCCTCAAACTCCTGACCTCAGGTGATCCACCCTCCTCAGCCTCCCAAAGTGCTGGGATTAAAGGCATGAGCCACCATACCTGGACACTAGACAAAAATTTTATAAACAAGAAATAAGCTTCTATCACATTGAGGTCACTGCTATTTTGGTACCATATATACACATACACACATATACACATACATACATATATACACATATATTTGTGTACACATGTGTACATATATACACATATGTGTGTATATATATGCATATATGTATACATATGTACACACACACATATATATAACAGCATCAACCTTTTAACTGCTGAATAAATTATCTTTTCTTTATTTCTCTTCATTGTTCTTCATTTCTTAAATCATAGAGGAAAAAGTTAAAACATCTTGGATGAGTATTCTTCCTAACCATTGGCAGGGCAATATCAATTCTAAACTATATCAAATTATTACATTTTAAAAATACATATACATAGCTTATACCACAATGAGGGATTATTCTTTTCATTCCAACACAGAAAAATCTTCCCTAAAATTCTCATCTCTGGACTGCCAGAAGAAAAAGAAAAAAGAAAAAAAAAAGGTTACCTCTGCTTTAAGAAAATGGTTAGGGAAGGGCTCCCGGAGTCGCTTTAGGGCTCAAGCATTAATATCTGCTAAGGAAGTATCACTGGCCAAGCGTGGTGGCTTATGCCTGTAAGCCCAGCACTTTGGGAGGCCGAGGCGGGCGGCTCACAAGGTTAGGAGTTCGAGACTAGCCTGACCAACATGGCGAAATCCCGCCTCTACTAAAAATACAACAATTAGCTGGGCCTGGTGGCACACACCTGTGATCCCAGCTATTCATGAGGCTGAGGCAGGAGGATCACTTGAACCCGGGAGGCAGAGGTTGCAATGAGCCGAGATCGCACCATTGCACTCCAGCATGAGTGACAGAGCGAGACTAGGTCTAAAAAAAAAGAAATATCACTTCTTATTTTGCTGTGGATAAATTACATGCTAGACAAATTTTCTTTAGTCCTCAGGACATAAACCACTACCTAGGAAACTCCAACAGTCTGAGTAATATTAATTATTTATCAGAAATCAACATATATTTTATCACAAACTGCAATACAATCAAAAAAACATTTAGGTTGAGCAGTAATAAATCACTGTCAAGCTTTTGACTATCTACAATTTGAAACAAGACTCTAAAACTGCCAAAAAGACACAGAAGCTGTAGTCACTGGTGACAACCAACATAACTAACTCAGGAAAAATAGTGAGGAGAAGAGTGGTGGGAGAAAGTTTAGAAGCAGCAAAGCAACATATAACATTTTCACTTGGGCTCCATTTTCCATCAAAAAACCAACATGGCATATAAATTTTATGAAGAAAAACTATAAACTACATATTCATCAAAATACCAAACCATATTTAAACACAAAGAAAAAATATCTTCTTTCAAACCTTTGTAAATAAGGAAGCAGAAAGATAATTTTCTAAAGTAATTTATAATTATCCTGCTTTTTTTCTTTTATACCTAGGAAAGAGAGCTCTCTCCCCTGACTCTAACACTGTTTTCCCATTTGTGTCAACACCGAAATAATTTCCACAGATCATTAGCTTAAAAAAGCACCTAGCATAGAATTTAAATAAGTGTAAAATTCCAGAATTTTCTTGGGAAAGTAATATTATTTGGCTTAGCTTTTGGTTCCAGGGAAAAAAAAAAAAGAATGAAAATTATTCCAGGGGGTGGATGGTGGGCCAGGAAGAGAGACAGGGATAATTAACTCTAAGAAGTTAACTACTCACTACTGCACTTTACAGAAGCCAACATTTTTCTACCTGGTGCTGTGATGCAGACTGTCTACCAATGCTGTCAGTAGAACTTTCTGCAATGATGGAAATGTTTTACAGTTTCCAAAATGGTAGCCACTATTCACAAGAGTTGACTGGGTTCTTGAAATGTAGTTAGTGTAAGTGAAGACAGAATTATAAAAATGTTTTAAATTAATTGTCACATGTGGCTACTGGCTACAAAATTAGATAAAACAGTATTTCCACAATCTTTCAAGGCTCCACTCAAAATGCTGTCTCCTCTATAAAGTAGTCCCAGATCCTGCAGCTTAAAAGTTAAAACCTTTTCCTCAGGTATGCCACAGCAATTTAAATGTACACATAGATAAAATGCATGAAGTTGGGTCAACATGCAAGGCAAACTTTTGGTCTAGCCAAGATAACTCTCTGGAATCCCTTATCAAGATAAACAGTAACTCTTAAGTCAAGTCTAGCCCATTTTTCTCCCAAGCTGGAAACAAATTCCTCTTCATTCCCTTAAACAGCAAATGCAGCGGGAAATTTACATGTAAGCACCATGGTGCCAAGGAAGAAAAAAATGCGTCTAAATATCCAATTGAAAGACAATCTGTGAGAACAGAAGATTCACTTGCCCATATTCTAGTGCAAATATGGCATGGTATAGACAGAACCCATACAATGGCACCTATCTCCCTCACTACTGCTTTCCTTTCTCGATTACCTACTTTCCTTCCTATCTACCTACTTCCTTTCCTACCTGCTTCCCCTCCCCACCCTTTTGGTGCACATCCTAGATATTTAAATTCATATAAGTTAAATGGAATTCTACTAAAATAGCACTTATCACTTTCTATTGTTCATTAGTTATTTATGCATAACCTTTCTGTCCTACTGAATTATCTTTGTCTGATGCATATATCAATATAATTTACATTATAGTTATCAAATTTAAAAGCATTGCATCTAGTTATACCATTATTTGTTCTTGGTTATAATAAAATTAAGGACTGGTTTGAAAGCAAGGGTACCAAATCAAAAACTCAGTGACCAAACAGCTAAAAAAAAAAAAGAACAAACTTGGGCCCATCTAATTGATAAGTGACAGCATTATCTCCTTCCTGCTGATGGTGCCACATGGTAATAAGGCCTTAAGTTTTTAAGGGAAGTCAGAATCTCAGGTTATTATTTAAAACACAATGTATAAATGTTTCACTTATTTAATTAAAAGACCAAAAAAGATACTGAAGGTATCAAACAAATACTTTCTGGTAAGATACTGCAAGCTACTGATTTCTGACCTGTGCCCAAATGGATAAGGGCTCTAGGCAAACTCACTTGCTTGCATTCAACAACTTTTTTTTTTTTTTTTTTTGAGACAGAGTCTCGTTCTGTCGCCCAGGCTGAAGTGCAGTGGTGCAATCTCGGCTCACTGCAACCTCTCCTCCCAGGTTCAAACAATTCTCCTGCCTCAGCCTCCTGAGTAGCTGGCATTACAGGTGAGTGCTACCACTACGCCTGGCTAATGTTTGCATTTTTAGTAGAGACGTGGTTTCATCATGTTGGCCAGGCTGGTCTCAAATTCCTAACCTCGTGATCCGCCCCCCTCAGCCTCCCAAAGTGCTGGAATTACAGGCGGAGCCACCGCACCCTGCAACAACTTTTTTGTTTGTTTTTGTTTTTGTTTGTTTCACAAAATAGTTTATTGATTAGCCAAGGTCTATGTGCTCCCAGCTAGGAATATTTTGGTGATCGAGACATTTGGTACTTGCTCTGTGAGAACTTAGTTTTGATAAGGCAAACAGATAATAAACAAGGAAACAACTACATAAGATAATTTTAGATAGTCATAAAGGTTATACTTAAAGTACACTGTGTAATCCAAGCAGCTCCAGAGGCTGAAGGAGGAGGATTACTTGAGCCCAGAAGTTCCTGTCTGGCCTGGGCAACACAGGGAGACCGTGTATCTAAACAATAAAATAAAGTAGAGCTATGTGATAAAAGAGTGATAGGCTCATTTAGATTAAGTGCTCAGGACAAATCAATCTTCCCCCCTGGCTTTTCTTACACAAATGAAAGATAAAATTACCGGAGGAATGACTCAGCGTAAGGTCAGCGGTTGAGTCTATTTAACTTGCTTTGAGAATCAACGCATCTTCTTACGCAAGCCACATTCTATCTAAGAAAGTTACTGAACCTTTAAACAGATGGGAAAATCCTACTGAACTATAAAATAGAGTGCTCAGTTCTTCTAATTTTCTGCAACAGAGTAAAACATATTTGAAAATCTGAAACCCCAAATCTTTGAGATACTCTTATAAATAGACTCAGAATGACCAGAAGCAAATCGAATCATCAAATGCATATGTCTATGAAATTTAATTGTCTAACCATATACCACAGTCATATTATATTAAATGGGATACTAAATTCACAGATTGGAAGGCTTATCGTTTCCTAGGCAAACTCAAGTAAAAGTCACAATTTGACTTGCAGTTATACATTTTATTAAGGGTATCATAATAAATTACTCAAGGACACTTAAATTCTATGGGGATTCGCACCCACACACAACTTAAACTCTCATAGTAGAGTTTTATACTTAAGGTAAAATATATCATTTTCAATAAAAAGTCACTTAGAATATAGGCATCTTGGTTTTTCAGGGATGAGAGAACTATATTAAAAGAAAACAAAACTCATGTATCCATAAAAAATAAGTGTCTTGGCCAGGAATGGTGGCTCATGCCTGTAATCCCAGCACTTTGGGAGGCTGAGGCAAGTGGATCACTGAGGTCAGGAGTTCAAGACCAGCCTGGCAAACATGGTGAAATCCCGTCCATACTAAAAATACAAAAATTAGCTGGTTGTGGTGGTGCACACCTGTAATCCCAGCTACACAGGAGGCTGAGGCAGGAGAATCACTTGAACCCAGGAGGTGGAGGCTACAGTGAGCTGAGATGGCGCCACCGCACTCCAGCCTGGACCACAAACCAAGACTCCATTTCAAAATAATAAGAAGTGTCTTTAACATCACTTCTGACTTTTATGCTCCAGAAACATTAGACAAGATAATGGCTTGAACACAACCTGGTAGGTTGCTGTCATAATTGTTCAGTAGTTACCTCCTACATGTTTTTTTTTGGTTTGAGATAGAGTCTCACTCTGTCACCCAGGCTGGAGTGGAGTGTCACGATCTCGGCTCACGGCAACCTCTGCCTCCCGGGCTCAAGCGATTCTCCTGCCTCAGCCTCCCGAGTCTCTGGGATTACAGGGACCCGCCATCACGCCCGGCTAATTTCTGTATTTTTTTAGTAGAGACGAGAGTTTCAGTATGTTGGCCAGGCTGGTCTCAAACTCCTGACCTCAGGTGATTCACCCACCTCAGCCTCCCAAAATGCTGGCATTACAGGAGTGAGCCACCATGCCTGGCCTACCATTTACATCTTAAGTTGCCCTTAAAGTAATATCGCTAGACTCTCGTGGCCCCTGAATTGACGCGCCTGAGGGAAAAGGAGAGACACACTAGATTTGTGAGCTGGGGCTGGAGCTAGGCACGTGGCTGAGCCCCTGACACTCTTTGGGATTTGCTTGCCTGCAGACAGTGTGTGTTTTGGTATGCTCTCTTGGCCACGTAGCAGCTAGACAGGTTCTCTCTTCGGGAGAGGACGGCAGCCACGCTGCTTATGACTGGGTGTGGAAGCCTCAAGGAACAAGCATTAGCATGCTCAATTGTCACAATCTTGCCACAGTCAAAACAGCTTTATCATAATTAAGTAGTGTGTGATCCCCATCATTCTTGTACCTTCCTCTCACTTGGTTCTGCCTTAACTGAAAAAAATACTATAGGCTTATGGAACCCCAACTGTAATGACCAGTAAGTATGTAACTGTAGAAAATCCTGCATCAACACTATAAACTAAGGAAGCACACCACCAAGAGGCCAGAAACCTTGAGGAATTTCTCCTGTATACATTGAATATGGAACCTAATTTTAAGATATGAAGAGTTGAAAAAACCAGACTCACCGCCAGAAAACTCCCCAGGATTGTGGGATGTAAATAAAAGGTGTTTGGCAGAATTCCACTAACGCATCTTAATTTGCAGGGCTTAGAGTTGGAAGTGCGGACAGGCCAAGGAAGAAGATGGGACGCACACTATTTAGCATAACTCAGAGCAGCTGTGCTAGAAGACCCAACACTCACACAGCCTCTTTTACAAGCAGAAAATCAGAAATGTTCTAGGGCCTTTTCTTTCTGTCAAATGCTGAGGTACAAAAACGCACATTAGACAGAGCTATTGCACAAACCAGGTGTTATGGTCAAAGCAAAAACAGACACTCCACATTAGGTCTGGCACTACGGATGCCACCGCAGAGGGAGCGACGGCAGACACAAACTTGTGTGCTGGATTATGTGCAGCTCCATCTTCTGCTCTGATTGCCTTTTAACTTCTAGCATCTTTCACCTGTAGTGTTGGTTTCTATCAATTAATGCTCCAGGACAAGGTCTGAGAGAAGCCCCCTGGCTATCCTGTAGGACAGGGACATAAACTGCTCTGAGCAGACAGACCTCTTGTTAGGCAAAGATGAGTTAGCAGGAAAAAAATAAGTTTAAAACACAAAGTAATATGGAGAAAAACAGATTTTTGAAAGGAATTGTTTCAGGAAGCAAATTCTTAAATTCACCTTTGTTTCTCTGTAGAACAAGAGACACGACAGAATAGAATAGGATTTTGTAAAGGAGCAGGGGAGGATCACCTAAGGAGGGAGCAGGATTTAAGGGAAGCGGGTTTCTTTAAGGAAATGGTTTACTAAAGTTGAAAATTTTAGAATAGCAGAATTTCAATTTTCATAAGAATAAACAAACAACAGAACCAATCAGTAGAAAACAAACTTTCTGTATATCAAAGAAAAGACAAAAACAGATGAAGAAGGAGGGAAAGCTACGTATGGAGTAGAAAGATGATAAACCAATATTCAGTAAAGGACAAAATTTATAAAAACTGACCAACATCCAGCCATATTCTAGTTCAACCTTTTTTGTTTGTTTGAGAGAGAGTCTCACTCCACTGCCCAGGCAGGAGTGCAGTGGTGTGATCACAGCTCACTGCAGCCTCGACATCCTGGGCTCAAGTGATTCTCCCACCTCAGCCTCCCAAGTAGCTGGGATCACAGATGTGTACCACCATGCCCAGCTAATTTTTTTTTTTATTTTTTATTTTTGTAAAGATAGGGTCTCACTGTGTTGCCCATGCTGATCTCCAATGCCTGGACTCAAGCAATTCTTAGCCTTGGCCTCTCAAAGTGCTGGGATTACAGGCATAAGCCACAGTGCCCTTCAATACCCTAGTTCAACTTTAAAGTGTAAGAACTTAAGAAATAATCTCAAAATCAGCGAAATTAAAAAGCTACAAAGTGTAGGGGGTAATATCAGACTGGCTTCAAACCTTCCAAAAGGAAGCAATACTGTAATTCAAGAATTACATAACCACACAAGTTGTTCATTCATGATTTAAAATAGAGAACAGTGACAGGTATGAAAGAGCCCTCAGATGTTTGTACGTAAAGGCAGTATTCTTTCAGATACAGAGTCAATACCAAGATGAAAAAAAAAGCTATTGTCAATCCTGTCATAAAAGAGAATGCAAATGGTACCAGTAATTTATAAAAAAAAAAAGTAGAGAAATATGTAAACATAAAAGGAAATAATATGCCAAATAAAAACACAGGAAGAATGCTGATCAAAGGAAATAAAATTAAATACTGTGAATTTTAAAAGTGGGTATCAATGTACTTTTTCTTATAACAAATTAATGATAGGAAAATATATGTTTATGTTTTTTAACATTTAAGGTAGATATTAGTGAAACCAAAAAAAAAAAAAAAAAAAGATGCATTCCTCTCAACTTAAAAAAGGAAAATCCATCAAAAGCATAAGACTATATGAGAGAATATATATAGGTAGCATATTAGTCCATTTTCATACTGCTATGAAGAAACACCCAAGACTGGGTAATTTATAAAGAAAAAGAGGTTTAATGAACTTGCAGTTCCACATGGCTGGGGAGGCCTCACAATCATGGTGGAAGGCAAAGGAGGAGCAAAGGCAGGTCTTACATGGCAGCAGGCCAGAGATTGTGTGCAGGGGAACTGCCCTTTTATAAACGCATCGGTTCTCATGAAGATTTATTCACTATCACCAGAACAGCAAGGGAAAAACCTGCCTCCATGACTCAATTACCTACCACTGGGTCCATCCCATGACCTATGCGGATTATGGGAGCAAAAATTCAAGATGAGATTTGGGTGGGGACAGAGCCAAACTATATGAGGTGGTGAGGGATAAAAAGGAAGGAAGGAGGGAAACACACATCTATATACATCCTTTTCTAGTGAGCAGATGCAAGGACTGTGTCAAGAATAACTCTGTCATGACATCTGAGCATTACTAAAGTCTATGGAGTAAGCATTACCCTTAAATCATAAATGAAGAACCTGTAAATTAGAGAGGTTTCATGTAGCAAAAAATGAAGTACTAACAGCTAGGTGCGGTGGCTCACACCTGTAATCCTGGCACTTTGGAAGGCTGAGGTGGATCACCTGAGGTCAGGAGTTCGAGACCAGCCTGGCCAACATGGTTAAAGCCCATCTCTACTAAAACTACAAAAAAATTAGCCAGGTGTGGTGGTGGGCTCCTATAATCCCAGCTACTCAGGAGGCTGACACAGGAGAATCGCTTGAACCTAGGAGGCGGAGGTTGCAGTGAGCTGAGGTCATGCCACTGCACTCCAGCCTGGGCAACAGAGCGAGACTTCATCTCGGGAGAAAAAAAAAGTATTAACATATACAGTGAAAGATAAATAAATGAAGAAACATAACAGGGTAGGAAATATTAACATAACTCATTCTCTGTCCATTCAAACAGACAAAAGAAATAGATATACAGAGAATCTTAATATTACAATTAATATTCCTTTTAGTGTTATCTTATGATTAGACGTAATCATGTATTACAACAGAATGACCTTCAGCATATTTTAAAAACAAAGCTGTTCTTTTATCACAATGAATCAAAAGTGTAACTTAACTGAAAATGTACAAACAAAAATTGGGAAATTAAATATAACTTTATTAAGTGATAAAAATGAATATGTCAAAACTAAAAATACAGATATTAAAAAACAATGATAAAATTAACACCTATGTTGCTGACACGTCAGAACCACAGATAGTTAACTGATTTTTTAAAAATGTGACAATATTTTGTGCCAAGTAGTATAATAGTTAATGAGTTTTTTAAATGTGACTATATTTTATGCCAAGTAATACTGAGACACAGATTTATAATAAAGCACTTTCATCCCTAAACACTGTAAAGTAGACAAAGTTAAACAGATATTCAAGCATAGAAGCTACAAATATAACAAGAAAAAAGTAATTAAGATATAAAATCTGAGCCACAAACTGAATAGAAGACAGAAAAAAACATGGTAGAACTAACTGACTAATACATCCAAGAAAAAGTGTTACAAAAAAGAGAACCCTCTAGATCAGTTCTCAAAATTTCCTGTACTGAAAGGTCACTTGGGGGAATTATTAAAACGTGCTGACTCAAGCGGGGAGAGTGGTATCCAGGACTGTCCACTTAAAACCAGCCACCCCAGTGATTGTGATGCCTACAGCCTAACAACAATAACCCTTTGAAAATTTAAGAAAATGTTTCATACCCAGCTCTGGTCTTTTAAAGAGAAGTAAATAAACTGAAGAACTTGATAATAAAACAAGACACAACAAAAATATGT